AAGTAAATAGTATCGTTCCATTTAACTTTTCTTCAAAAATCACAAAAATATGTAATCGCTGCAGATAACGTCCTCTAGCTCATTTGTTTTAAAGCAGACGGTCTTACTGAAAATATCTTTAAAAAGAGCATAAAATGCTCTTTCAAACAACACCGAAAACATTCAAATCGGTTGAATGGTCCAGGAGATATTAAAATGTAAACATTTGAAAACGCATTGGCCTCCCTCTCCCTTATTATGACAGATATGAGAAATATCGCAAAACAAAAGCGATGCGGTATTATCCAAGCTACTAAATGATGTTGTCAAAGTTATAGCTCATCGTCTAAATTTCTGAGATAGCGGGAATTTTATGTTTCTCTATGGCAGTTACGCCCCCTAGTGGTCGAATTACGAATTTCAAAATAATTTCCAGGTATTTCTCTTGCCCACTTTGCTTATAAGAATTTTTTCCCAAACCTCTACGCCTTACCGTTGTTGAGATACAGCCGCTCCGTACGCTTAACGGGACATCCTGTATAATAACGGTTCGGTGAGCTCCGAAGCGCATTCACGAAAGAACAAGCCGGGCAGTCCATCAGGACCCGCTCCGGCGTTGGGGTCCACAAGCAATAGCGCGCGCAGGATGTCATCGCGGGTAAACCAATGCATAATCCCCAGATTGTCAACAAAAACAGAACCAAAATAATCGGCAAATAGGTCACTAGACATCCTGCCCGCCATCCACCGTTCGTTCGCGATAGGTAATTCTACTGAGGATGCTCATATTACCTTTTCTTTTAGACTTAGTGTAAGACCAAAGAGCGTTAGGGTTGACACACATATTAGACTGTGTGACGTCAAGAAAAGTCCTATAATCGGCTGCGATTAATGTTTTAGTGCGAGTTCTGAGCAAGCGAAACGTTTCATAATAATTATCGCAACCTGTGGACTTTCACTTTTTATGGTATTTTAGCTTTTCTTTAATGGCTTTGATAGTAGACAGCGAATACCATGATGGAAATCTACGTTTATGAACAGTTCGATGAAGAACATGCTCGTCAACCGCACCACGGATAATTGAGTAAAACATATCAACCGCCCCGTCAACCGATAAGACGCCAATGGCACCATCCCAATCAACCGACGCAAGAGACGCACGCAAACCCCCATAGTCGGCCTTATGGAAGAGATATTTATGCAAGCAATTTTCGCGAAGGGGACGCACGGAAGAACAATTGATGG